TGTACAAGTACGCATTCACATTTACTGTACAAGTACGCATTCACATTTACTGTACAAGTACGCATTCACATTTGCTGTACAAGTAAACATTCATATTTGCTGTACATGTAAGCATTCACATTTACTGTACAAGTACGCATTCACATTTACTGTACAAGTACGCATTCACATTTACTGTACAAGTACGCATTCACATTTACTGTACAAGTACGCATTCACATTTACTGTACAAGTACGCATTCACATTAACTGTACAAGTAAACATTTGCTGTACAAGTAAGCATTCACATTTGATGTACAAGTAAGCATTCATATTTGATGTACAAGTAAGCATTTGCATTTGCTTTACAAGAATGCATTCACATTTGCTGTACAAGTACGCATTCACATTTACTGTACAAGTAAACATTCATATTTGCTGTACAAGTAAGCATTCACATTTGCTGTACAAGTACGCATTCACATTTACTGTACAAGTACGCATTCACATTTGCTGTACAAGTAAGCATTTACATTTGCTGTACAAGTAAACATTCATATTTGCTATACAAGTAAGTATTCACGTTTGATGTACAAGTAAGCATTTGCATTTACTGTACAAGTAAGCATTCACATTTTCTTTACAAGAATGCATTCACATTTACTGTACAAGTAAGCATTCACATTTTCTGTACATGTAAGCATTCACATTTTCTGTACAAGTAAGCATTTGCCTTCGGTGTACAAGTAAGCATTCACATTTACTGTGCAAGTAAACATTCACATTTACTGTACAAGTAAACATTCACATTTACTGTACAAGTAAGCATTCACATTTACTGTACAAGTAAACATTCAATTTACTGTACAAGTAAGCATTCACATTTACTGTGCAAGTAAACATTCACATTTACTGTACAAGTAAACATTCACATTTACTGTACAAGTATGCATTCACATTTGTTGTACAAGTACATGTTGTAAGCATTCACATTTTTATTTTGTAAGTCAAATAATGTTTTTGATTTTGTTTACTCACATCATAACATCAATAATATCAATCTGAATGATGTGTTAATTTTTGTAAAAAGTATAATTATATGGCACTTAAGAAGACAACATTTTGTGAAAGTCGCTGACACATTGTGTTGTAGAACCCCAGAAACAATTACACTTCTACAATTAATATTTCACTATTTACACTGAATTGTGAAATTCACGAAAATTTTGTACTTTGTCAATTAAAGCAGTATACAGTTTGATGTCTGAACAAAATGGATAAAAGAAATTTCTGAACAGAGTGGATGGAAACCAGCGCAACTTTTCACCCCAATTCTAAATGATGCTATGTTACATTCTTTGTTGAGCTTCATTTTGCAAATCACTTTCATGTAATAAACCTAAAATAATTATGTATAATTAACTTCGTCCACTTCATGCCACTGTGTTTTCAATTTCAAATTTCCAGTGGAACAATATTAAATACTTATTTCCATCAAGTTAGCTACCTGTCGAAGCAACATCAGGTTTACACTTGAAACAATGAGATAAATAATAACTTTTAGACTACTACTTTTGCTTCAATAGTATTCCTGAGACAAGCGTTTAAATATATTCATTTTTGTATTACAGCAAAATTATGCTGCTTATGGGGGAATGCATCCCACAGCAACAAGTGGTATTAGTATGGGAGCCACAGGTATCGGTGGTCCCACCCAGGGATATATGCAAACCAGACCGATGATGAACACAATGCCAACGCGGCAGCATGTGCCACCAACGACAACCACGGAAACCAAACCTTCCCCTTTCGATGACTTGGATGTTCTCAGTAAAAGTATGGTAGAAACGCCCAAAACTTTCACACAACAACAACCCAAACAGCTTGCAATGTAAGTTGCATTCCTGCTCCCACTCAGTTTTTGGTTTGGTTCTTTACAAATTATTGTCTTGATTTTTATGTATGAGGAATTATAATTATAACCTCATAATACACTGAACTACATGGCTATGTAGTTATGTATCAACAATTGCATTGGTGCCAAATGATTATTTTCTTTGTGGCCATTTTTGCAATTTTTTTTTGTTCAGCCTCACAAGTTTATCAAACTGCCTAGTTTATATAAGTTAATAACATTTTTTTTTAACTCAAGATGTCTTCTAATTTTATGCTAGGTCCACCCAACCAGTAATGAAACCCATGCAGCCTAGTGTGACAGGAAATATGCAGCAACCATCCCAACAACCAATGCAATCATCTCTGTCACAACCTGCTATGCAGACATTGGTAGAACCAGTACCACAATCACTGATTCAAGTGGCACCCACTCCACAACCAGTGCAACCCAAGGTAGCCATGCCACCACCCGTTTCTCAACAAGTAACACAGCCAACTCCAGGAAGTCCTGCTCCAAATTCGTTGCCGTCAACACCTGTAAAAGAAGTTGTCTCCCTGGCGGATGTTTTTGTGCCATTAGAAAGTGTCCAACCAGGTAGGATCGGCATTACAACATATTTGTTTACATCAAGTATTTAATCTCACCATGTTCAAAAATTAGTAAAAAGATCCATGACATGAGCTTCAGTTCCAGGAAGACGTGAAAATACATACCACTAGCAGCTTACCGTAAAAACTCCAAAATTTCGACCGGTTTTGAATAATTGGTGTTGGAAATGTGACGTGTTTTTAGAATCAAAATTAAGGTGCATTTTCGGACGGTCGAATTTTTCAGAATAGAAATCAGCAAATGAAAAAAATGGGGATGATAGACAGTGTGCTTCATTAGTTTTTAAAA